ATTATATACATAGATCTTAACTACTACTTACCAGGTGGTCGTCTTTTAACTGATCAGCCAATTTCTCCCAATCATTATTTTGATAATTAACACGATAATAGCCGGTTTGGTTGATGTTCAATATTATCCAGTCATTATCACTAGCTCCATTGAGTTCAATGCTGGCTGTAGGAAACAGAGTTTTACTACTTGATAAACTGTTATAACGTTTTTTATATTCATTCAGGCTGGAAACGTGGGAAAGTTTTTCTAAATTATATCTGTATACAGCTTATCATCGAAGAGACTGTTAAGTTTAATTTAATGTATAGAAACCTGGTGTGTCATACAGTCGGGCTTCTGCCTTACTTTTCAATTGAAATATGTTTAACAATAATACTGTGACAATGCAACAAAACTGGAGAAACAAGATTTTCTGGACCGTGACATATCACGAATAACGGTAATGTAGAAATAGTTCAATTTCTCACCTGGACCTCTGTTTTGCCATTTTAGAGCAGGGTTCTTAAATTCTTGCTCCGATCCGTGGGTGTAAGTAATTGGTACGTACCATTTATACCTGCAAACCAATGCATAGAACATCACACCCACACAAGTAGAAACGTCTGATTGCAATGTATAAATGAAAATATACATGCCTAACATTTCTTACCCTAAATCGTCGTACTTAGAAGATGGTTCATCATACGGGTCTAATAAAAAGTGACTCTGATTCGTATGAAGTATGGTTGCGGTATTCGCATCACGCCACACTGTTACAACTGGGTATCCCATCTGAAGTGTCCATGTGTCCATAATGAGTTTAACGTTCAAGTTCGTCTCTCCTTTAGCGGCCTACAAAGTAGGGGTTGCGACAGTGGTAAGTGTTATAGTAATACAGAACTATTCTATTCTATTCTATTCTATTCTATTCTATTCTATTCTATTCTATTCTATTCTATTCTATTCTATTCTATTCTATTCTATTCTATTCTATTCTATTCTATTCTATTATTACGGCAACTGACCTCTGTTAACGCCGCAAATAAATCGTCAGAAACGACATTGTCATGGTTGTGCTCCTTAAGATACGAAGTAAAACCATCGTTCAGCGTATCTTTGGAGAGAAATCCAGCCATCATGTGAGTTATACTTGCACCCTAAAAAAATAAACAAATCTTTCCATAAATGAAATAAACAAAAAACATTATAACTAATAAGCTCATGAAATTTATTATTCTTTGAAAACGAAATGTACAGTATGGCCCACAATTCGTATACCTTCAGATACGATATTATGTCGAATATATTAAGCACTTCTTCTTCTGTTCCCACTGGGTAAATAACGGGATGGGAATCGCCTGTAGAGTCAGTCTCTAATGCCGGGTATAACGTAGCCCATTGGAAAACTTGTTGAAACTACAAAAGAACATATGAACAACGAAACTAATATTGTAGATGATGGGAATCGGCACAAACTCATTTACTAACTCATGTAGCCACATGGTGTCCAAAATATTTGAACACGGTATTTGGTATTTCTCACTTACCATTTCCCAGTCTGTCTCGGTGTGGTGGGTGCCGACGTACTCCATAAAACTTGAAATACCTTCGTTGAGCCAAGTATGATCCCACCATTGACACGTGACTAAATCACCAAACCACTGCAATTGAGCGAACGTAATGTCACGAGATATAATGGTTTAGTTGACACAGAGGCCCTGTACATTAACAAGTTATTGTCAATAACAAATCGCCGTCCAGTTTTAGGGACTGTCAATATTAGTGCCAAATAATTATTTACACTATTTTTCGTAACATACATGATACAAAGTAGAGCCACTTTATTTGTGCGATTCATTTCTTTATTCTTCAAAAACAGCAATTGTTAAAAACAAAATAGCCCCCAGTCAGTCATTTTGAATCAAATCCGGGGAAAAAGGACGTGCATCAATGACCTGTCCCTTAAGGACATATTAGGTTTCAAAGAAACATGTTCATAAACGACCGAGATCCAGTTCCGGAATTGCAAAAATGTTTGACTTTGATGATTTGTTGAACCATGAAACAAATGCATGTGCTTATGTGTGATATGAGGTGTCATACCTGAGTCAAGTTTGATATGGTCGCTCAAAGCATGTCTGATATATGACCCTGAAACAAAATCGCCGCCAGTCGGCCATTTTCCATCCGATCTGAAAAAAAATGACGTGCCAGCCCATTTTGTTCAATGAACATCCAAGTTTGAATGTAATAATATTCATGCAATTCTGAGAACCGGTTCCGGAATGACAAAAATGCTTGATATTGATGATTTTTAGTACTAAATTGTCCGCCATTTGGCCATCTTAAATCTGGTGATGAAACAAATTCATGCATGTGCTTATCGTGATATGATGTTTGTGAATGTAATCGACCCAGACATGTCTGATACAACTCCATTGTTGAAATATGAGAAAAAGGCATTGTGAAAAAAAAATGTTTCGGATAAATCATTGATTTCCATTCCTGGAATAGAACATGACTTGAGACATTCAAAATGGAGTTACATGACAAGCCATGAGAGAATGCATTATACTTAACTATCGGCAGTTTTCTTGCCTTATATCTGTTACAATTATAACAAAACTTTAATACGGACATCAAATTGATGTTTGAATTTGTTAACGATAATGTCGTTCCGTTCTTCCTCAAGTTCTTTACTACACAATTCCACACTACATGTAGTTGTTAATACCATAGTATTTTGGAGGACTATCTTACCTGATGTGCTATCTCGTGGGAAACAAGGACATTTGCTCCTTCCATTTGAGAAGGTGGATCTGTGTCTGGGTCGTAGTAAATACTTGTGTCTCTGTACATTATTATACCCCAGTTTTCCATCCCACCGAAAAAGAACTGAGGCACGGCAATGTGGTCTACATAATATAAGAAGAGACAGGTGTAATGTCATGAATTTGTTTTCGCGTATCTGTTGGTCGACTTAATTAACTGATTATTAGCGAATTGCTATGTTATGTCTGTCATCGTGTAGGCCTATTTGAAGTTTTGGACGGAACTTGGCTCAGTGATTTGGAACTAATTACGAGATATCCGTCGCGATTCTGACAGTTTATATCCGTAGTTATTAATGTAGTGAACGATTAATCAAAAGATATGACGTATTCAGTACTTAGTGTGATTGGCTTTATGATTGAAGGTTACGCCCTAGAGTCTTTTTACTGCTTTGTAATTGGTTAGAGTTTTGAAAATGAATAAAGAGAGTTTGAGTTGGTCTTGGCGAATACTCCACGACAGACGCCGTAGAGAGAGTGCAGTCGAGAGTCCAGTCCAGGGGCGAGCCTTAAGGCAGTCCAGTCTTGGGCGAGTCTTGGTTCAGCCTTGTGAGAGTCTTGGGGACTTTTCCCCAGGGCGCTGTGTCTTATAGAGTGCTCGATTGACCGACTAAGACAAGAGCTGAAACGTGTTTCATTGTGTGTGCCTTATTTGACTGTAAAGTTAAAGTGACTTTCCCGATCCCGTACCTCAAGGGGACGAGATAGAGAGACGAGACGAGTTTCCCCCCTGACACGTGTGGAGACCCCCGAGAGAAGAGATTTTACCCCTGATAGTAATACGCGATAGGCCATCCATCCTTAGATAACTGGCACAGTTATATGGCACAATTGAAGAACTCGGATTTACATTGTTTGATTTTGTTGATGGTATTTTATATCTAAGAAAATTACACCTTGGGAACAGATTTTTTCAGCATATGTAGTTACCATCTAACTTTATGGAGTATTACATATGTCAAAATCTGTCATCACAAAGAACTTCAACTCTCTTTAGATGACTGCAGAGGGCGAGGGTAGCAAATATGATGTGAACAGTTAACACGTTTCTAAGGTTAAATTTTGGTACGATGCAATATATTTTCAATACAAGTACATTTTCCAAATTTGCATTTCGTAATAGCTTTACGATTTCCGCTATTAGATACATTAAATATTGGAATGAGTCATAATATAGTTAAAGCGCGGTAGTCGTCGCGCTGCGCATGTGCCACATTTGTGTTGATAAACATTGATTTTCCCACAATCCAATGCGCTCTT